ACCACCTGATGTACGGTTCATTTGGGAGCTTATAATTCAGGATTGCTACCAATTCTGATTCTAATGCATCAAACTGAGGTGTAAGCAGGGCCAGTGCAAGGATTTTTGGGTACACAGACATAGCTGCACCCCCTGTGTCTCATCTACCCCACATGTATCATTCACCCAGCCACCTCATATGTCTCATTGCTCCCCCCAGTCCCTCCGTGTGTCTCTTTCTCCCAGCACCCCATGTGCCCCAATCCTCCAGTCCCTCCATGTGTCTCATTATCCCAGCCCCTATTTGTCTTGTTCTCCTAGCCTGAAATGTATCTCAATCCCTCAGTTCCTATGTGTCTTATTCTCCCAGCCACCATGTGTTCACTCTATGCTCCCCTATGTGCGAGCTTACCTCCCTCATGCGAAGTGCTGTTGAGCCCGGACTGCAAGAGAGCTTTTGTTTCGCTCTTCAAAAGTCTGACAGGAAGAAGCTTGGTGCTCTACCTTATAGTAGCAACAGCCCATTACCCATTCTTATGCTAATATGCCAAACTTTAGTACTAAAGTCTTTAGTCATAACAACAGTATTGACACACCATATTAAAACAAAAGCAAAACTCTGGGAATGATGCAGCTAAGACTTTTCACTTACTTTTCACATGCATCAAAACCAAGTCTTCTCTTCAGGAATTGATATCAAACTATGACCAAGGTAATTCTGCCAACAGTTCTGTTTTTAACATATGTAAGGTCATTTTGCCACAATGAAACCTGAGAGGGTGCGTGGCAGACCGCCGAGCAAGAGGGATGCCTGAATCTTTGCTTTGGTATTTGGGCTCTCTGATAGTTAAAATCTAGGGAGTAAATAATCTACCCTTGAAGCTACCCTTGAAAAATAATAATAATGTCTCCAGGCAAGAAGAAGGCTGCCACAAAAGCTGACAAGCTTAACTTTTTGGTCCAAAAATGGCACCGGAGTCTTCGATTGCTCAGGCCATAATGCCTGAAGGAGGCAATGCCTGAGGATAGGAATTGAACCTTAGACCAGGAAGAATGTAGTACCGAAGAAAGCCTCACTAAGCAATATATGCAAGAGGCTTTGGATGCCCGATCTACTAAAGTGATTAATTCCTGGCATGCAAGTGTAGAAGACTTAATAAAGACCTCCATGAGCTGGGAAATAGGACATCAAACACAGAATCAAAAATGGCAGAACTTGCTGGTGCACATAAACTTCTGGCCGACCATGTGCAAAGTTTAGCACAACAAATGACTAATATGGAAAACAAAATAATGGACGCCGAAGGTTAAGGAGTCCCTGATTTACCGACATTTGTTTGAGGATTTTTTAATACTCTGATACCTGAAATTCCACCAGACATGTTACTCCTGAATCGGGTCCATCATGTGCCACGTCACAAATACATTCTAGGAATCTCTACCAAGAAACGTGCTTCTAAGAGCACACTACTCTTATATCAAGGAGCTGGTGTTGAGGAGTAGTTCGAATTGCTCACAAGTAAAGATATGAGATTAAAGATATTTGCAGACCTGTTGGCTGCTACATTATGGAAGAGGAAAGTGTTTGGTCCCATTAACTTTACCTTTCAGGAGCAGAATACCAGATACCGGTGGGAGTACCCCAAGAAATGACTGATTGTGAGACAAGACGGCATCACCTCGGTTACCTCACCTTAGGACTACTCTCTGCTCCTGGGCTATGCAGCCTAAAGCAACACAGCAATTACTCTACATTGCAAAAAAGCTGACCCCTTATGTTAAATGTACTAGCGGTCTTCAAATATAGACAAATGTAGATCAAGCTTCATTACAATTATATTAGAAATGTAAATAATGCGTATCTTATCACAAACCATTACTGAAGCTTCAGATTTAAGGTAAATCATTTTAAAGTTAAAAGAATCTAACCCATGCAAGTTATCTATATTGATTTAATATAAGGTATTATATATTTACTGTTGCACACTATCCAATGTATTCACATTTTGTTAAATTAGGACAAAAATAAAAAAAAAACTGACAAAAATAAATGCTTTGACTGTAGGTTCAATAAATTACCACTTTTAATTTTTTTGTTTTTTTTATGTGCTTCAAAACAAACTTGGAGGGGGAAGGGTACAGAAAAAAGAGAGGAAGGGTGGGGTAACCACTTCTAACATTGTAAGGTACATAAATACAGTAACTTCACATCATGTCCATGCCTGATTCCACAACAGCACATGGTAGCTCCTGTATATAGACTGCTACATCATCACGGCACATTTGACAGAGGGCATACATTTCTGGTGGTACAATGGTTCGGTGATTGCTTGTGTGCCTCCTGGGCCCATATCTCGTTCAGCCGGTATTTACCGATCTCCAGTCGCACCATAGCCTCCAGCTCGCTGTTAATACCACTATAGCAGGTTTAATAAACCTGTTTGTCTATGTCCTGTATAAGGGCTTTTATAGTTGGGGATTGAGAGGACTTCCAGGCTCTTGCAATTAAGCGTTGAGCTGTAAATAAAACATGGTATATTTGTTTTTGTTTCTTTCGAGGGTCCTTGCAGGGTAAGTTTAACAGAAAGGGTAAGGGCTCGAAGGGTATGTTGATAGTAGCGATTTGGTTAATTAGTTGGTGGACAGTTGCCAAAATGGGATTAGAGATTTGCTTTGCCACCAGATATGGAGAACTGTATCTTCCTCTCCGCACCTCCAGCATAGTGGGGACGAGTGTGAGAATAGCTTATGTATGCGAGTAGGCACCATGTACCATCGATTATTTTTTTTTCTGCTGTTCTAAGAGGGTGGCTGAATTAATCAGTAGTTTCGCAGAGGAGATAATACTCTCCTATCTCTGGTCTGAGATGTTACATTGAAGGTCCTGAGACCATTGATGGGCAGGCGGGGATTTTGTGCAGTGGTCATAAGCCTTGAGGAGCTGGTAGCACCTGGAGAGAGGTTTACAATGAGGTGGAATTGTACCTGGACCCCTATTTGTTCTGACATTGTGAGTTCAGTTTTGTCACCTGATCTGGGGGTTATAGTCAGGCCATGTGCAGAGAGAAAGGACTTAATTTGTAAGTATGAGAATTGGGATGTGTTCGGTATGTGATAGGTTGACTGAAGTAACGGAAAATCCATTAACTTACCAATTTTGAAAAGATGTAGTAAGTGTGTGACACCTTTCTCCTTCCACAGTGTAGCGTGAACTGTTGGTATGCAATAGGATTTAGCAGTTAAAGGGGTAGCCATTGATAGAGGGGTTGAGCTCACCAATTCCAAACTGTGTGTATCCCATATCTGTATGGCCAACCTAATTTGTGCTGGCATTAGAGGTATGGATGGCTGCAAAATCTTAGGGAGCCATATAAGGGTGGGGTTATTGAGCAGTTGCACAGCTAGAGTTTCCAATATTACCGATTAGCTTGTATGAAGTGGGGCATAAGGGACGCCAATATTGCTGCTTGGTAGTAGGTCTTAATATCTGTGAACGCCACCCCCACTCGCTTCACAGGAGCTTTCAGTAATTTGCTTGACACTCTAGCTCTACCTTTACCCCATAGAAATGTAACCATTCCGACTGGATAGTTTTGAAATACGAGTGTGGTAGTGGGATAGGGTGGTTACAGAACATATATTGGAGCTTTGGCAGTATTGTCGTTTTAAGCGCTATTATGCGTTCTGTCCAAGTTAAAAACGTAAGTTCCCATTTACATAAAAACTTCATATTCGTTCCAGACTCTGATGTAATTGGCTGGGAAGATACCCGTTCCCTTCTTGGTAAATGTTAAATTATCCTTTCTCCACTCAAACGAGAGCGAGTGTGTGTGCCACCCGGGTTTCGGGAGCAACCAGTGGGGGCTATGGTATGGGTCTCTCCAACAAAGAGGTGGTCCGAAAAAAGTCACCTAGAGCACTGCACTGTCATTGGCTTCCTACAAATGTAATAGCATATTACCAGCATGACAGTGCTGTTCCTATTGGTGGCAACCTCTTATGTTGAGTAACGCTATTCTGTTGCTGGGTGATGTACCCCACCTAGAGGTGGTGCTCATATACGGCCAATGCACCCCTGCTCCCCCTCGGCTTTACCGTATAGTACCAACTGGCAGTACAGTGATCCAGCCATTGTGCAGATCACATTCTAACACGGAAGGCGGCAGGGGTGCGGCTAGGCAAGTGCTTGAAGTGTTCTGAGAGCATTGGATATGGTAACACCTTAATTAGTGTAGATGTAATCCTGATCATGCTATCCAGTAATAAAAAACATTAACTAATCAACATTAAAGAACACCTATAACTACACGCCTCTGAGATGTTTACTCTTCCCTAGTAGGTTTCCCATAGATCACATATTGGGCAGAGACAATATCTAGCCATGATGCGGATTCCAATTTAATGGGATAGGTTATAATAAAGTGGTCATTCAGCCAGTAGGGTGTTTAACAGGCGTGATGCACACATCATGTTAAATGGGAGAGAGGAAAAACAGCTTACAACTCTACAGAAGCATATAATAGTGAGCACCAACATTAAAGAACACATAGTTGCATGTATCGAATTTAAAAGTCATTAGCGGAGACAGGAGACATCCTAGGGAGTGTGTCTGGTTGTCGCAGCTTAGCTGAAAGGGATCCCCTAGTCTTTCAGCTTTTGGGTACCTTGAGCCAAGCTGGTGACAGCACGAAGAGTGTCATGGTGGAAAATCAGGAGCTTGGTCAGGTACCCCCATCGATAGTGTAAGTTATGTGCACAGAAGTTATAGGCGACAGCGACTTTCTGAACAGAAAAGTTTCCGCTGATAGATCTACAAATACCTTGATGCTGCTATATTTTTCCGGCGTGTCCATATTTCTGCACGCTTTAATTATCTTTTTTTTAGCATGGAAGAAATGGATCCTCAGTATTACATCTCTCACCACTAATGCAGGTAAGTGCTTGGGCCTCCGTAGTCGGTGAGTTCTATGCATTCTGAGTTTGTCCAGATGGATTTATGGCGTAAGGTGTTGCACAATTACCTAATGGATTTGTTCCAAGTCGGCGTTGGTCACCGACTCGATATGCCTCTGAATCGGACATTGATTGACATGGAGGACAGATCCAGGAGAAACCGTTTGAGCCTGTGTTTTCCGAGATGTCTTCAAATTCCTGGAGCTTGTTGTGTATTCATCCATTTTGGATTCTATATGGGAAGTGCGGTTCCCAATCTCATGAATCTCCCGTCTGAGTGATTGTATTTGTGTTTTAATGGTACTTTGAATAGATTCCGAAATTTCTGCCATCATTTCTCTCATTATCCACATAGTCAGCAGTCGCTCCTCGGTTACTGGGCCTGGAGATGATGGTGAGCACCCTCGCGATCTTACCTCTCAGCCATCTTGGTCATTAGTAAGGCCTTCAGTGCCATGGCTTTTGCTAGAAAAAAGGAGGCTCGGTCCACCTTACCCGCTTTTGTTTTTTGTCACTGGGACATTATACCACTAAATGCTCAAGTTTTATCTGGTAGAATGTTCGGTAGAGTTTATGCAGTGCTCTGCTTAGGACTGCGTGAGCTACATCCACATGCGGCCGCTCGGCTTGAGCGCTAGACCATGCCTCCTAAATTGCCTTTTTTGAATTCTGGAGTGCCTGGACTTTTCTACATTTATCTCATTGACTAACTTGGTTTCTTGGTACTGGGACCGGTCCTGTTGCACCCAGATTCATATTATTTAGGGGATTGTGTGATTTCTCCTACTTATTACAAGAAGTCTATGTAATTATAAGGTAGCCACAATTTGGTAGACTGTCTTCAATCCCCCACGGTGCAAAGTAAAAGCACCTTATCCCTATATAGGGGATTAATGTATATTATTTTATTTATTTTAGTTCCTTTGTTTTTCCTTACTAACCCTACATCCCTAAAATCCCTATCATCGTTGGGTATGACAACCCAAACCAATAAAATGCACGGAAAAAATTACAAAATAAAGTGCCTTACTTCTAATTGTACTCCATGTCCTCTAATATATTTGAAGTTTATAGGTGATAAGGTGACATATCTCACTATAATTTTCATACCATTTTCTATAAAGCGTTGTCTACAGTCGGAATATGAAAGTATACTCCCATGATACCTAGGGTGTTAAATACCCCACATAAGCAAGATGCTAAAGGCGCAAGAGCAGACATGTTGTTTTTACAAGAAACCCATTTTGTTAAATTAAAGTTTCCAACATTTTTGTTCTAAAGACTATCCAATTCAATACTACTCAACTCATACTTCTAAGGTTAGGCGAGTTTCTATTCTCGTACAGAAGTCACTTACATTTGAAATACTAAAATTGATTAATGATCAGGGAAGATATCTGATTATGTTGTGTATGCTAAACAATACAATGTATATAGTTGTTAATCTGTATAGCCCTTTTAAAAATAGTTTTTATTGAAATATTTAAAATTTTTACAATAAAATGAACAAATAATGAGGTAAGTGAAATAGTGATACAACAAGCCGGGGTGTAATGTAATAAATAATTATCTGAAAGTAGTATTAATAAACCAAATGTAGAATAATATTGTACAACATATCACAATGTATATATAACATTTTGTTCAGGTGGGGTTAAAATGTAAAGTTGTTCTGTCTGATTTCTTTGAGATCCTATTTATATCTAAGAAGGTTAAGTGTATGGGGGGGGCGGCGGTAACGTAAGCACAATTTCACATCTTATATTTTCAAACAGATGGTTAATAACGTCCTTAATATCCTGAACCACAAGAGACTTCCAGTGATGTGGAAGAGCCATAGTGGCTGAAATTAGAATATGGCCTAGGATTATGTGTTTATGTCTAGGTTACCAGGCATCTTTTTGTACAAGCATAGTTCAGGTGTTAATGGAATCATCAACAGGTCTAATCAAAATAAAAATGTTATCCCAGTAAGACTTCAGTTTAGGGCATGTCCACAGCGTATGGCATAAGGAACCCACCTGACCACACTCTCTCCAACACTTGTTGGTAGGTGTAAATTGTAGCGCATGGGCGTCCGCAGGGGGGGGGCAAGGGGGGGCACTTGCCCCCCCCTCCCCCTGGATTTTTCAGCTTGTTCTGCTATTTTTCGCGTGATTGAAAATGAACTGCAATACCGGCGCCGGCCAGTAGGTGGCGCTGTGTATGGAGAGAGACAGGGATAGGAAGCTGCATCTTATCCCTGCTTCTCTCTGCTGATTGAAACCGCAGGGGAACAACACATACAGCCAGAGACAGCCTACAGATCAGGTAAGTGGGGGGAGGGTTTGAGATAGCCTATAGATTTTTTTGGTGGGGCAGCAGCCTATAGATTAGGGAGTGAGAGATGGGGGGAGGGTTTGAGATAGCCTATAGATTTGGGGGGGGCAGCAGCCTATAGATTTGGGGGGGGGCAGCAGCCTATAGATTTGGGAAGTGAGCATAGGCGTGCGCAGCCTATTGCAATAGGGTGTGCACCCTAAAGTACAAACACACGCCATGTGTATATGTATGTGAGTGTGTGTGTATATATATATATATATATATATATATACACACACTGCTGTGTGAGGGTGCTGGTAGTGTGCTATGTGGGTGAGGGTGTTTTTGTGTGTGTTTTGTGAGAGTGCTGTTAGTGTGCTGTGTGTGAGGATGCTGTTTGTGTGCTGTGTGTGAGGGAACTGGTAGTATGCTGTGTGTGTGTGTGAGAGAGAGAGGATGTTTGTGTGTGCGTGTTCGGGTCCTGTTAGTGTGCTGTTTGTGTGCTGTGTGTTTGTCAGGGTGCTGTTTGTGTGTGAGTGTGCGGTTTGTGTGTTTGTGAGGATGCTGTTAGTGTGCTGGGTGTGTGTGGGTGCTGTGTGTGCGAGGGTGATGTATGTGTGTGGGTGCTGTTTGTGGGCTGTGTGTGCTGTGTGTAGGTGCTGTGTGTGTGTGTGCTGTATGTTTGGGTGGAGGTGGGGGCAGATTAGTTATTATCCCAGTCCTGCTGCCTTCCCTGGTGGTTCAGTGGAGAGTGAACTCTAGCCCGGGTTCTCTGCTGCCTCCCTCCATGCTGCTGTGGACCGGTGAGGTAGAACTTTGATCTCCCCACCGGCGCATGGAGGCTTAGACCAGAGCTGCCGCTCGGATAGCGTCGGCTCTGCATGAGCCGACCGGGGAGATCCAGAGATCTCCACTGCTGGTCTCAATCCATTGGCGTGCCGCGAGGATTAGGGTGTGCCCATGCACACCCGACACACCCTGTGCGCACGCCTATGGAAGTGAGGGATGGGGGAAGACAGCCTACATGAAGAGTCAGCAAGGAGCAGGAAGGTAAAGTAAGAAAAGGAGAAGGAACAGAAAAGAGCAGGAAGGGACATCAAGGAGCAGAAAGGGGCAGCAAGGAGCTGGAAGGGACAGCAAGGAGCACAAAAGGTAAAGGGTATCAGGGTCCACAAAATTTTATTAAAGTAATTAATTGAGATTATCAAATCAAGGTTTAAGTTTAAGAACAGCATTTTATTGGGAATTATACCAATATGTATATGTTAGTGTTTTAGTACTCAACAAGCATTTATATAGAATGAGTGCTTCTCTCATCCATACAAGGCATTTTAAAGTGAAATTATGTATTAACATTTTATAAAGGACATAAACAAAACTGAGATGTACATGTTACACTAGTTAAGAGTTTAACTTTAGTCTCTAATTTGAGTTTAGCCTAGATAATTAATTTATTGATGTCGTACTGATCCTTGTGTTTGTATGATTATAGAGACCGTACTGGAGTATTTGTGCTGCCTGATATTTGGGACTACACACCAATCTCTCTGGCTGACCTACCTTTTTTTGCAATTAAATCTGTTTGGTCAAAAACCATGCTGGCCGAAGAAACTGAGATGCTTACTTATGAGGACATAAACTAACTTGGAAAGTCCTGAAGATGCAGTGCTGTCTAATGCCGCTATTTCTGTATTACCCTTTCAACAATTGGGGTGTTGCACAGAGTATTGTGGTGAACATCCAGCAAACAGAAGAATTAAGAACTATGTGGAAGCTGACATTGTCTTGTTGTCAGCCATATTGCTACCCTTAGCTATGTTATGGTGTCTAAGATTATGGAACAAAGTTTATGGTGTCTAAGATTCTTTATACTCCTTGAAAGACTTATAATATTTTTCTGGACTATGCTGGACTATTGAACTATTTTGTTATTTTTATTTTTGTAGAGTTAGCCGGAGAGAGAGGAAGTGTTAGCTTACTCAGGCATGGATGTACTATGTGTGTCATTGATGTATGTTGAGTGTACCAAGGATGGATTCCCATGTATTAAGTGTGGATATGACTGGACCATCGAAATAGGGATTTGATTAGGAGGCATAGGACGCAAGGTCATGATTGGGATTATTGCTAGAATTGCAAACTGATTAGAAATGATCTTATGATTTAATATGTAAGTGGGCCTTTTCAAACTAATCAAGAAGTGTTTCCCAATCCCGATACCCGAGCTATTTACTTACAAGTGCAGGTTTTATACGTCACTAATGCTGTTAACGTGAGGGGATGACATGTCTACACAGTCATGGCCCTCACTTAGAGTTTCCCCAGATGTGCTTTTTTCCTCAGTTATGAGTTTTTGCCACTGGGTTTTTTGACCTGGCCCAAGTTCACTGGGTGGACTGGTAATCCAAGACCCTGGTCCAAAGAGGGGAAATAGATTTTATTCCCATTTTTGATTATATGTGTTTACGTTGTGAATTATAATAATAATATTCCCGTTGTTAGGAATAATACACTTTGCCTGTTTTGATCCAAGGATCAAGTTACAGATAACTTGATGTGCAGTATGTTTAAAATTGGTTAAGATGTCAGCTGTTTGAAATATTTAACTTGTACACTTAAAAGATGTGTACAACAGATGATTACAGAAGCTGAAAATCGACAGCTCGATCTCCTCTTAAAGGGAAAACCTACGGCATAGAGCAAATGGGGGAAATCGAGGTGAAGAAATAAGGAAAGTCCCGCAGACGTGATTAGCACGTCTGAATATACCTCCTTTCGTTTCTCTGCCGCAGGCCTCCCATGGATATTCCATAAGGTAGATCACGATATGATCTAAAGAGAGGAATTGTAGGATATGAATATCCATTTTGCTCTATATCCTAACTGTTCATGTAAGGGTTAATTTGAATCAAGAATAAATTTGGAATTGTATCTCATGTCACAATGACTTATCTATTTACGGGAAATGTTATTGGAACATGATTTTGTTATTTACATGACATGACATGACATGATAAGGATTCTGGAATGACCTTGTTAATTGTCCAAGATTTCGGTATTTGTAATCATCTGGGTTTTATCCAATATGCATACATTATGTAATATCGAATTATAACTAAAAACAGATGTTTATAACTTGTGAAAAACAATGTCATTGTCACGCCCATATGCTCATTTTTCCCCCTCCCATCCTGCTATGAAAATGGGGTATAAATATAACTGACGTATGAATACAATTTGAATTGGTTATTGAACACGTCTCTGCTATTCATTTCCAATTTCCAGAGCTCTGTATGAGTTGGCAAATATCCATCATCCACAAAGGGCCCAGGCTGATTTTATCCCCAACAGTAGGAGAAGGAGCACAAAGGAACAGAAATGAACAGGAAGGGTCAGCAAGGAGCTGGAAGGTAAAGCAGAACAAAGGTAAAGTAAAAGGAGCAGAAAGGATCAGAAATGAGCTGGAAGGGGCAGAAGGAGCACAAACGTAAAATAGGAGAATGAGCAGGAAGGGCCTGCAAGGAGCAGGAAGGAGCACAAAGGTAAAGGAGCAGAAAGAATCAGAAGGAGCACAAAGGTAAAGTAGGAGAAGGAGCACAAAGGGACAGGAAGGAGCACAAAGATAAAGTAGAAAAAGGAGCAGAAAGGGATCAGAATGAGAAAGGAGCAGAAGGGTGCAAAATAAGCAGAAAGTAGCAGAAAGGTAAAATAGCAGAAGGGGCCAAGGATAGAAAACAGTGTCAGAAGATTAAAAAAAAGACTGTCAAATGAAGGAGAGGAAAAGGAGATTGGAGCAGGAAGGACGAATGAAGTGAACCCTCCACTTTATTCTGGACACCACATCATAAGGCTTTGGTACCTGGGCCAGGCAGGGAAACGCTGGACCTTCTCATCTCCAAAGGTAAAAAAATATCAGTATTAATGTGTTCACTTTTATTTACTGAGTGTCAGGAAGCACAGAGTGCCGTTGGGTAGGGGTGTTGCTGATTGGCTAGAGCGGTCAGCTGGCACTCTAAGCCAATCAGTAGCTCCCCATTCATAAAAAAGTAAAAATATTTTATGAACCGGGAACTAGCGATTGGCTTAGAGCGTCAACTGTCCACTCTAGCCAATCAGCGGCACCCATGCCTGACGTCAATCTGCACTTCCTGACACTCTGTTTCAGAAGCCAAATACCACTGAGCGACCTGGAGCTGGAGGAAGCCTTTGGGGTTAAACCATTTGAGAGTGATTTAACCCCTTAAAGGAAAGCGAGCACCCAGGGGCTTCCTGGCATCATAGCATTTTCATTTAGGTGAAGTTGTTATGGTGACCAGAATGGTCCTTTAATTTGCTTAAAGGAACACTATAGTGTCAGGAATACAAACATATATTCCTGACACCATAGTTGTGAAAACGCTATTCACCCTGGCTTTATGTGATAATGGCTATGCCCCTTCCCTTTCATGACACTGTCAAAAAGGTACTAAGCATGGATGTCATTACAATTATGCCCCCCCCTGGAAAAATTCCTGCGGACGCCCATGTTGTAGCGTATAAAGCCTGGAGGGAGTGAAATACCATCTGTAAAGAATCTTGTAGTGGGCTTCCAAATGTAACACACACTGTAAAATATAACCATTCTTTCAGCTCGTATTCCCTACCTTATTCACTTTCCCATTTAGTCATCGATTCAAACTTTTGTGTCACCAATCCAGTCAACAAACCCTAGCATATGGAAATTGTCAGTTTCCGAGCAGGGTCAGAGAAATAAATTCTTTCAAAGAGACATGTTTAGTTTATAATCACTCGGGCCCTGTTCGGAAAGGCCACACTTATCAATCACAGAGTCAATCATTTTCTCATGCGTTAATTCTTCTGAATTGTTCAAATCATATTTAGCTTTCATTTGAGAAAATGAGTATGTTAGAATTAAATAAATGTTCAATATGCATGATTAATGAGAACCAGTAATCTGTGTTAAAATTGGGAATATCTATTTTGAGCACTGATATGGGAGATTCTCATGACCACAATGAAGAGGGTCCAAGTTTCCTGTACAAAACATTCCAAGCTTTAATCGTAGTTTTTGTGGACAGAAACATATTTGCTAAACGCAGTCTTTGAGGTGAGGGCAGCCATAACACCCCTTTTATGAGATGTGGAAGAATCTTGGCCTCCTCCATCTCAAGCCAGTGTGGGCTTTCAGAATCTAGATTACATTTGATGGCAGCTGCATCATTTGTAGCGTGGAAATAATGAATTAAATCTGGCAAACCTATACATCCATTAATTATCATCAGGGAAGATTTCTGATTATGCTGTGCATGATATCATGTATACCATTGTTAATGTGTATAGCTCTAATGTTCATCAAATAAATTTTCTTCACAAAGTATTAACTAAACTTGAACCTATCCAAACAAACTTAATTATTTGTGGTGATTTCAATCATGTTCTCGATCATACTATAAATGCCATTATCACCTCGTTATAAATCTCTTAAATCACAATGCAAATCTTTTACAAAATTAATACTAGAATTTGGATATTATGACACCTGGCCGGTAAATCACACTTTAGAATGAGTATTTACTTACTATTCCCCTATATATCAAACATACTCTAGAATTCACCATATACTAGTATCAGGGTCGGTATTTGATACAGCAGAGTAGCATCAAAGATCTAATTTGGTCTGATCACGCACCAATCATATCATCAATTTTCGAATGCTTCACATCTAGTGGACATGCTCCCTGGCGTTTTAATGAGATGCTGTTGAGTAATATTTGAAAAGCAAAAATTGAAGCAGGATTACGCAGTTATTTTACATTGAACACCACGGATGACACATCTCCTATTGTCAAATGGCAGGCACATAAAACAGTGATGCGCAGTCTTTTTTTTTTTTTTTGAGCCAAGCATCTTTTTAAAAAAAGCATACCCAACTCTTATGAGAGTTCAGAGATGCCACTGCCAAGCATTACATAATGCTCACTGCCCTTCTACAAAATACTATAGACGTACTCCGCAAACAACTTAATTATCTCTCAATGTCAAAAACAGCACATATATTAAAAAAACAGAAAATGTAATATTATACTCAGAAAAATAAAGCAGGTAAACTATTAGCAACCCAATTGCGCCAAAAAAGCATGCAATCTAAGATCCCATACATACTCACAAAACTATATAATCCTCAAGATACTGTTAGTGCATTAGAGGAATACTATACAAATCTCTACAATCTTAAATCAGACACAATGTTACACTAGCTGACTGAGCAGGAGATTAAAAAAAATTGTCTGGAGTTGATTTAACACTCCTTTCACAGGAACACAAAAATAAATTACAAGCTTCATTAACTGAAAAAATATTAGATACTATACAAATTACATAATTCCCACCTATCCATCAAAACAAATTCAAATGACCGCAGTCCACTCTTTCAAACACTTGGGTATGATGTTAGACCCCCAATCTATCTTTTGGCCTGCACATAGAAAAGCTTGCATCTAAACTTTATCCAAAACTAGGTGCCCTGTACAGAAATAAATCCTGCCTAAGCCCTACAGTAAAGGAAAAGATTGTACTGCAAATGCTGATGCCAATCATTGATTATGGGGATGTAGAATATGCATCTGCATCGCAATACCACATTAATAAACTCAACACATTGTATAACTCGTTCTGCCGATTTGTGCTACAATGTAATTACAGGACTCACCATTGTGACATGCTAAAAGAACTAAACTGGCTGTCGCTGGAATCCAGATGCACCCTTCATCTTTCCAGCCTTGTGTTTAAGAGCTTTTCTGGGAAACCACCACCCTACCTGAAAACAATGCTTTCCTCAGCTGTTCCCACTTCCTATAACTGCCGATCCAGTACCAACACTTTACTTAGTCTACCTCAATACAAAAAGAAAGTGGCCCGATCCTCCTCCTCCTACAGAGCACCGCAATTGTGGAACGACCTCCCGCACAATTTAAAATCTTCCCGCACAACTTAAAATCTTCCCTAAGCCTAAAGTCCTCTAAGAGATCCCTCTCTACATACCTCAAAACAGAATGCACCTGTCATGGTTGATTATATATTTCCTGTCTGTTCTATGTTAAATTTTGTATTTATTGTGTATTAATATTGTTTTGTATTTTATTGTACCCTAATTGTAACAAAGCAATGATTTGTGGACCCAGGACATACTTGAAAATTAGAGAAATTTCAATGTATCTTTCCTGGTAAAATATTTTATAAATAAATAAATTTGCCACTTGGGGAATTCCCCAGTCCAGATGGTTTCCTGAATCAATATTATAAAACATTTAGCGCAATACTCCCCGTTTGTTAACTACATTCCAAACTATGGTTTTAATAGCAAAGGCTCCATTAGAAATGTTGACAGCCCATATTACAACTCTCCCCAAACCTGGAAAGACACCAGATAGAGGACAAAATCTACGCCCAATATCACTACTGAATACGGATATAAAAATTTTGGCAACAATCTTTGCGAACAGATTAGCCTCAATACTTCCAACAATTATCAATGATGATCAAGAGGGATTTGTAAAGGGGAGATGGCATACGTAATGTGCTAAATCTGCTTCATATGCTGCGGGGAGGGGAGATAATGTGTTCCTATCATTAGATGCTGAGAAAGCTTTTGATCGGTTGCACTGGCGCTTCCTCTCCACAGTCTTGCAAAAGTTTGAATTTTCACAGATTTCTAGGTCGATGGTAGATGCCTTGTATAGTAACCCAGTTGCGAAGGTGGTCAATAGTGGATTTATTTCTTACTAATGTAAATATACACTGTATAAAATTGCACAATCAAGAATAAAAACGCACACTTTTTACAGATTACATAATTCTCACATGATACAAACATTCACCATATCATTACATCACTATAGTAACTGTTCATATTATAAGTTAAATGTACATAAA